TCCCTTCATTTTTCATCCTTTCAAAGCCACCTAGCGCTCTCCCTAGTAGCACATCCCCCGTCCTTTATTTGTTGCTTAGTGCCAGGGCCCCGCCAAGTACATGTTTAGAGTGGAACGCCTCTGCTTTTTCTTTCTTTGCTGTACAGCTTCCTTACCTTGTCACGAAAAAGAGAACCAGCTCATGCTTTTTGCATTATACAAACAAGGCAGTGATTTAATTTTTATAACTTTACCAGAATAAAATAGGCATTTGAATGCTGAGGGTATACAAGTGCATTGAAAATAGCTGGATCTCTACAGCTTCCTCCACCAGTGAAGAAGTTTTGAAAAGGATGAACTTAAATAGAAATCAGTTACCTGAAATAATAGGCTAAAGAATAACATATTTCTCTGTAAACTGGGCCAGGCAGATAGTCAAACTGTTCCAGCACTGTACTAGGTGAGCTGTGAGGAAACAAAGGAGAGAGAACCAGCTAGCCAAATCCATTATAATCTCTAAACCATTTGACTAGTCACTCAGATCACTGACAAGTCATCAAGAGTCCATCTGCTGATTAGTCTCCTCCTTTCTTAAAGACTTGATTTGACAAACTTGGTTATGTTGGGGCGTAGTCGTATTTGTCTACAGGTATGGTTGAACTGATAGTTTAATGGACTTTCTAATGTTCTTGTAGCAAGTGCAACAAATGATCTTGTCAGCTAATGGACTTTTTCTTGAAGCACAAAGGCAAAAAGGTAGCAGAAAGGGCAACCCGTCCCTTCATTCCAATGAGTTTCAGTCTGATTCTGTGTATAGGCGTCATAGAATATCAGAGTAGGGCTGGAAGGGACCCCAGAGGTCATCTAGTCCAGGGGTGGGCAAAATGCGGCCCCGGGGGCCGAATATGGCCCGTCAGGCCATTCTACCTGGCCCGCGGGGCCCCTAAAAAATTTAGAAAATTAATATTTATCTGCCCTGGGCTGCCTGTCGCGCGGCCCTCAATGACTTGCCAAAACTCAGTAAGTGGCCCTGTGCCCAAAATATTTGCCCACCCAGATCTAATCCAATCCCCTGCCTGAGGCAGGATCATCCTCATCCAAACCGTCCCATACAACCATTATCTAAACTGTACTAAGACTACTCTCAACCCTGACACAACATAGACCTAATACCCACAGGTAAACCAGGGGAGCCACAGTAGCCAACATCTTGCTTGTGTAAGAGATTGTTAATACACTCTCGAGCTCCCAGGTAGAAGGCCACGGCTCCTGCTACAGAGGAAGGCAAAAACATCTTAAATTGCGGTCTTTTCAAGTAAGTTTTCTTAGATGTAGTTTTTCCAAGGTAAAGTAGAGTATATTCAGCGGTCTCTTAGATATAATTTTTTCAATGTATAGTATATTCAGTACTTCATTAGAGTAATAGGAAAGAAGGCTGGAAAGGACCCCAGAGACCATCCAGTGCAACTCCCTGCCTGAGGCAAGAGTGTCCCCATCCAAACCATCCCATACAACCATAATCTAAGTCAAGGGCGGGCAAAATATGGTCCGCCAGGCGTAAGCAGCACTAGAAAATAGTATTGGGGGGGCACTGCCTGCCTAATCCTGGCCCTCCTCCTGCCGGGCCATTACAGGGCTGGCATGTGCTGGTGCTGTGCATGCAGGTGAAGAGGAGCGTGCAGCAGTGGTGCTGGGTATGGCGCTACGATGGTGGCACTCAAGCTGCTGTTGCTAGCCCAGTTTTGGGGTGCTAAGCCCTGTTAGCCCTGGCTTTCTGCCGCCTATGCTGCCAGGCAATTTCATCTGGCTTTCAGGGACCCACCAATTAATTGTACCTCATCCAGCCTGTGCACCTCGTTCCACCCTCATGCGTGGAAAGGCCCACGCGATAGAGGTGGACCAGCCTGGCCGTGCTCCTTGCCACCACATGCAGCTCTGGCTGGAGCTGTGTGCTACCAGGCAGCAAACACCGAGCAGGCTACGAGTGCCCTGAGGGCCCACCACCTGCTGCTACCAGTGGCAGAGGCTGTGGACCATAGGGAGGAGTGTGTGGGGGGTCTACATCCCTCCAACTCCCACACCCCCACTCTGCCCCCACAAGCCCCTCCACAAATATACCCCTCCACAACATACCCTGTGCCCTCCCCACACGTACCGCCATACCCTCACACAAACCATGAGGAACCGTGTGGGGAGTCCATGAGGACTAGTTGTTCCTAAAGAATTCAATCCTCAAAGCGCAAGGGAAGTCCATCCTGTCCCATAGGAAATGAGGTCAGAGAACAGGGAAGGCCCCTTTGCTCAACAGGGAGCTTCTGGGTCTCCTGAAACTTAAAAGCCTACACCAGATGGAAAACTGAAATCATCATTCAGCACTTGCCCATACCTGTAGGGAGCAGTCCAGAAAAGCCAAAGCAGTAACCAAAATCAGGCTAGCCACCAGAATCAAGGATATCAAAAAGTTGTTCTTCAGATACATGGGAAGTCAGAGGAAAAACAAAAGCAACATTGGCCTCCTGCAAGATCAAATGGGGCAGCTGACATCTGACACCCAAGAAAAGACCGATCTCCTAAACAATTACTTTGCATCACTTTTCCACCCGCCCAAGGGGTTTATGCTGTCAGACAGGATGCAAAGCATCCAGGGCTTGAGAGATGGGCCCACAATTGACATAGATCAAGTGAGAGAACACCTCAAGAGGCTTGACATCCATAAGTCCATGGGCCTGGACGGATTGCACCTGAGAGTTTTAAAAGAGCTGGCAAACATCATAGCCAAGATATTTGAAAACTCATGGTGCTTGGGTGATGTACTGGAAGAATGGAAGAGAGCCAATGTGGTCACAATCTTCAAGAAAGGGAGGAAGGAAGATGCAGGGAATTACAGACCTATCAGTCTGATGTTCATCCCTGGAAAGATCTTGGACAAAATTATCAAGGGATCCATCTGCAACAGGCTAATGGAAGGCAACCTATTGAATGCCAGCCAACATAGTTTTATTACTGGAAAGTCTTGCCTGACCAATCTCATCTCCTTCTATGACCAGATGACACATTGCCTGTACAAGGGAGTTGAGGTTGATGTCATTTATCTGGATTTCAAGAAGGCCTTTGACTTGGTCTCCCATGACGTCCTTATGACCAACCTGGGGAATTGTGGGCTTGACCAGCTCACAGTCCAGTGGCTGTGGAACTGGCTCTGGGGTCAGACCCAAAGGGTACTAGTTGATGGGAGCAAATCAACGTGATGCAAGGTTACCAATGGAGTTCCCCAGGGCTCAGTGCTTATACCGGTACTCTTCAATATCTTCATTAATGATCTGGATTCTGGTGTTGGATGCGGACTGGCAAAGTTCATGGCCGACACTAAACTATGGGGAAGGTGGTCACACTGGAGGACAGGCTGGGGATATAGGCCAACCTGGACACGCTTGCAAGGTGGGTGGACCAAAACCTGATGACATTCAATGTAGAGAAATGCAGGGTACTTCATCTTGGGAGAAAACACCAGCATTATACTTACAGGCTCAGCGGTGCTACACTCACTAGCACTGCAAATGAAAGAGACTTGGGGGTCTTGATTGACCACAAGATGAATGTGAGCCCCCAGTGCAATGCCATGATCAGCAGAGCAAACCAAATTCTGGCATGCACCCACCGATGCATCTCAAGCAAAACCAGGGGCATCATCCTCCCACTTTACTCAGCCTTAGTGAGGCCACAGCTGGATTACTGCCTTCAGTTTTGGGTCCCCCCACTTCAGGAGGGTTGTGGAATAAGCTTGAAAGAGTCCAGAGGAGAGCCACCCATATGATCAAAGGCCAAGGAAGCAAGCCTTACAAGGAGAGGGTAAGGGACATGGGACTCTTCAGCCTGGAAAAGAGAAGGCTCAGGGGGACTTGGTGGCAGCCTACAACTACATAAGGGGGTGCACCAGGATCTGGGAGAACAGTTGTGCACCAGGGCCCCACAAGGGATAACAAGATCTAACAGCC